TCTGTGTCATTGAGGGCTGCTTATCGGGGTGTTACTATTGATAACATGAGCAAAAGAGCTTTTACAAGTCTCAAAAGTCTAATAGATAGTTTTATGGCAACTGAAGAGTCAGTTGGAGCCCTTTTTCACGATAATGTTATCAGCGGTGTACACACGAGGCACAATTACAGCGGGAGGCACTCGCAGAAATCACATACTTTGTGGAAGCATCTATGGTGGGAATAAGCTTGTGATGTGGATTAGTTGACACAACTAGCGTATCCTGTGTCTCGGCGCTCTGGTAATCTATGTAATCTATGCTCTCTGCTAATAGAGAATGGTTAACACTAGTGGGTGTTTATAATGTCTGCCAGTTCTTCGGGACTTGTAATCTAACCATCATTAGCCATAAACATTTCTGACAAATGACAAACAGATATCCAGCATGGTGCAGATGTTGATTGAGTTCTCCTTTGTTTGCATTATTTGTGTTTAATCTGCCATTTATTATCCTCCCAGTCACTATCATAGGTTAAAGGACTTTATAGCCAGAATTATCATAACCAGTTAGATAAGAAGTAAATGGCAATATGGGATTGTTATTGATAAAATAATGCAACAGAAAAGTTTGCACAGCATGTCACTGTCAGCATTTCAGCCTGTTTTTTAATTAGTGATGCTTTTGTCACTATTCCTGAATCAGATTGTCCAAGATAAAGAAAAGGAGAGATTTTAAAACTAATTTGGTATCTAGTTAAAATGTACTCTTTCTATTCATGTTGGTTTCATATGGTTATGAAAAACTTATTATTATTATTATTTTTTTTACAGTTTTCAGACAAAAATAATTGAAATTTTATGCTATGCTTGATGTTAATAACTAGAGCCCGACCGATATATCGTTTAGCCGATATTATTGGCCGATATGAGCCTGTCGCCGATATTTCGGTATCGGCGAATATGCCGCCGATATGATAATTTTTTTACAGAACATATAACACAGATTAAATGCTTCTGAATAGTGTAATTACTTTGTTTGTCCAGCAGAGCGTGCTCCATTGTTTGCTACTGGCGACCCAGGTCAGTGTAGTGTAGAGATGCGCGAATGAGCTCAAACCTCACCCGAGTCCGCTGCTTCAAATGATCAGCCCGCCACCCACCCGCACCTATATTTGATCATCACATTACAATGATTCAAATTCTTAGTTTTGCATGATGATATGATGGTTCATTTTAACAGCAGATTCAGTGACGTTAGAGACTAGAGCTGATCTGCGCATCACGGCACGCGTCTGCGGCGCATTAAAGCCTGTGTTACGGCCACCGGAGCTGATCGCGGCCACTCAATGCTGGTGTTTATCAGTCGCGCCGCGGCCCCGAACTCATGCTTATCACATCGGTCACATCACATCGCGTGGCGCGACAAAATACAATAGAATTCTATTGTATTTTGTCGCGCCGCTCGCATCCGGTGTAGAATAGAACCCATTCTGTTGTCTACACAGGATTCAGTAAACTGATGCCTCATTCTATTTATGACGTGCTGACAGAAGTTCAAATGATTTTCAACAGTCGCTTTGTCGCGTTCTGTTGCAGCGCAGACACGGTGTCAGCAAAGTTTGTCAGTACAGTCAGTAACATAGCAGATTGAAAAGTTAGTATCTTTTTGCTGTCCAATAGACGGCAGTGCCGTGGTGGCTTGAGACTGTTGAATGGTGATTTAACGCTACGTTGTCACCTAGTTGGAGAGACTTAATGCTAAGTAAATAAACATCAATGTCCCCGTCTTTTACTCTCACAATGAGCTTATCATACTCGTTTGCTACATTAGTAGGGCCCTATGATTTCCGAGATGCAGAAAACATGGACGGAATTGCAGAATCCAGTCATAAAAACGGAATTTACTGTATAACGTGTAATTTCATGGAATTTGTCTTCTTTTTGATGAATAAATAAAAAACAGGTCAGTACATATATATATATATAGACTGTCTGTGAATATTAAACTGCAAAAAGAGGATTTAAATATGAATGTCCTGCATGTTCATTGGATTACCAGGAAATGCAAAACACAGAGTTTGTGAAAAAAAATATTATTCATTATTATTATTTATTCATTTTGGATGTTTACATTTGGAAAAGCTGTGCTTCCTGCATAAACCTGCCCCTGTTGGTTTGGCAGTAGCTTGCTTGTCCTACACAGTTACCCTGTTTAATTTCTTCAAGTTATATATATTTTGTTCTATTTGTGTCATTTAAGTTATTTATAATAAGTGAAGTGAACTTTACTGTTAAATGCACTGATGTCAGACTCACTTTGAATAATAAAGTTTATTGTTAAATTGTTAAATACCCTGCCTCCATTACATAGGCCTATGTTTGTCACATCATTATATGTGTTTGATCACCACATTTGAGTTATCATTGCAAAAAATGTGTTTATGTCTATATATTCTGTTTATGTAGGCTATATACTGTATTCTATTTACAGTACCAGTCAAAAGTTTGGGCACACGAATGGGAAGTGTGTCCAAACTTTTGACTATACTGTACTATAATATAGCCTACACATAAAGAATATCGGCCGATATATCGGTATCAGGTTTTTTTTACTCCCTAATATCGGTATCGGCCCCCAAAAAAACCATATCGGTCGGGTAATACATTTTTCTGAACAAGTTAGTGTAATCATTATTTTTCATATTTTTTTTATTTATTTGTCAAGGTTATTTTTTACAGATAGCTTGAAATATTAATTTATTAAATATAATTAATTTTTTATTATTTTTATGAAATTGTATTATTAATTTTATACTTTTTTTAAAAATATATAATAATTAAAAAGTTCAGTTTATTTTTCAGACTTGTTGACTTATTTCAATATTGCATTTAATTATTATTATTTTATTTTTTTATTAATTTATTGCATGTCGGTCGCACCACATGACTTTGATTTTACAAAGGCTTTTTAAATATAAATTATCAGTGAAATTGGCTTTTCATCATTTTCTTCACACTGTCCTGTCTAGTTAAATCTATTTAAAATGTTTGGTGCTTTTGGCAATGTTCTGGAAGCAGTTTTGTTCTCTGAATGGCTTTTCCCTTGTCATTTCAGGAAGAATCCTCAACCGGTTCGCCAAAGACATCGGCTACCTTGATTCCTTACTTCCATGGACATTTGTTGATTTTATCCAGGTACGTTTTGCAGTGCAGTGTCTGTTAAACACCACATAATCTGCACATGCTGACGTGGCTGTATTAGAACACCCATCACTTGTGGCCATAAGCATTATTCGCTCTGGTAAACCAAGTGTTGTAGACCAACAACATATTGTGGCTTTTTCCCTGGCAAATGACAATGTGGTCAATACGTGGGTGACAGGCGTCACTTTATGTGCTCAAAGCGCTATTGTCTGAAACTTGACAGACTGAGTTGGAAGTACAATAGTCTTTCATTTAAGGAGCTTTTCATTGTGTGGGGCAGCAGAATCCTCCTTGTTCTCTCTTAGGATGAGAAAACACTGCAGTCACTTAGTCTTTCCCACAGTCCTCTCTCACTATTGGTTCCCTTTCAGTGTGAAAGCAAAGTCAGCATGCATTGTTGAATACTTCCTAAAAAATAGCTTACTACTATTCTGCTTGTACTATTTATACAGTTTTGGTGACTTGAAGACGGAATGATTGCGCTTACAAGATGAACGGCAATAAACCCCAATCACGTCACATTGTGATTACAGCTTCCGAACGTGTAAATGAGTGATTCCCAGAAGTATTGAAGAAAATATATATTGTAGGATTATGACTCACGACTTTTGCCAAATGTGGCGTTTATACCAGTAGTTCTCAAACTTTTTGACTCAGTGTAGGTAAATATGTTTCCTCTGGTGAATCTAATGTAATTATTTATTTTATTTTTTTATTTTATTTTAATCTATAGAAATTTTTGTACATTTTACTTGTACATTTAAAGATTCCGAAATTTTGAAGAGCTGAATGTTCTTCAAGTTTCCCACTCGTTTTAACTAATGTATTTGTAATACTTTGTTCATGATTTACTGCATAAGGATTGAAGATAAATATTTTTACTCATATTTTTTACTTTTTAATTTCCAGCAATAAAATATTTTAGAACTTTAAATCACTAGAAAAATGTGTATATTCTTTATAAAAACATGTATGGATATTTATTATAATTATTAACTTAATATTTATTCATTTTTCATTTCTTTTCCAGGTGTAGAAATCTATAGAAAACTTCATACAGTTGAAGTATATCCAGGTTTTTCAAGACTGTGTGGAAAAAAAAAAAAAATTTAAAACAGTTGTTAAGGTGGACCAACTTGAAATAAGAAATATCATAGTTATTAGTTGTTTTAGCCTATTTTTAAAGTCATTTTAAGTCATCCTCAGAAGTTTGCTGAGGGCCCCTAGTGGGTCCCGGCCTCTGGAGTGAAAACCCCTGGTGTACATGGAGTATAAACAATGTACTCGATCTTCCATTTATAGTGTGATAATTGAACTGTAAGTAATATCAGCTGTAGATTTCAGCATTATTTGGATTACCAAAAGTTTAGGTATTTTAACGAGAGAAAAAAAATGGATTCAATTGCAAATTTTTCCATTTTATTTCCAAGGTGATGACTGGATGCCGCTATGAATTAAAAATGTAACACATGTACAGTTTCAGATAGTATTTTAATAAAGTAATAGGCATACCACAGCATGCAAGTATCCGTTCTGAACGTGAGCACGCTGATGAAGCGACCAAAGCGGTTTCTTGAAAAGCAGTCAAAAGCAGAAGAGAGATCTCACTTTGACGTTATTGAGGTTCTTCTACACCAGTCCTAAAATCACAAGCACAGTAATGCTTTTGTCAGTTTCTGTTCCACCATAGTCTGTGCTCATCCCAACACTAACCTTAAGTTGTTAAGGGTTATTTGAATGAGATCTCAGAAAGTGTCGAGTCATGCTGTCCTGGCTGTGTTCTTTGATAAGTGTTTGTGGTTAAAAGTGAGCAACCAAAACCACAAAGTGCTTTAATGACCCAGCAGTCAACCGTTGTGACGCAGTGTTTCTACAGCTCACTTCTCATCTAAAACACAATTTATTTTACTAATGGTTTATTTTAATAAATGTATATATTTTTACTTTAAATTAATTACGTTATTTAATTGTGTATATCTCTCCCTCTTTCGTGCTTTCATCCACTAACAGGTGTTTCTGCAAATCATTGGAGTCATTGCTGTGGCATCTTCCGTCATCCCTTGGATTCTGATTCCTGTGATTCCTCTGTTGATCGCCTTCCTGTTTCTACGCCGCTACTTCTTGCGGACATCACGAGACGTCAAGCGCATTGAATCCACTAGTAAGTGTCTCCTGTCAAATTTGAGAATAATATGTGACCCTGGAGCACAAAACCAGTCTTAAGTTGCTGGGGTATACAGTGGGGAAAAAAAGTATTTAGTCAGCCACCAATTGTGCATATGATGTATAAATCTCAACTTCGAAAAATTGACCCTTAAGACTTTTTTTTTTTAACACTCTGGTTTTGTGGTCCAGGGTCACATTTTGTCTTCAGTAATGTTTCTTCAGAGCAGCTTTGTTGTGTGTCCTGGTGTTGATGACTCTGTATTTATGTTTCTACAGCTCGAAGTCCTGTATTTTCCCATCTGTCATCCTCACTGCAAGGCCTCTGGACCATTCGTGCCTTTAAAGCGGAGGAAAGGTTTCAGCAAACGTTTGATGCCCATCAGGATCTGCACTCCGGTCTGTAAAGGATTAGGCCACTTGCAGGACTCGGATTAGCTTTGACTTTATTAATGTGTTGTTTCAAATGTTTTGTGTGCTCCTGCAGAGGCCTGGTTCCTGTTCTTGACCACTTCACGCTGGTTTGCAGTACGCTTGGATGGAATGTGTTCGGTGTTTGTGACCATCACAGCCTTTGGATGCCTTCTTCTTAAAGACAGTGAGATATCCAGCAAACACACTACTAACCAAAACACAGTGTTGAATGTTTTTTTACAGCGATAGTGCACTGAATCCTGCACTTGGAGGAGAAATGTTACACATTTTATAAATATCTGACAAAAAAAGCTGTGAAAACTTAAAAGATTTTTAAAATGAACAACTATCATTCAAAATACATATTTATATGTTATGAATACATTATATATACACCATTCAAAAGATTGAGGTATGTAATTTTTTAAAAAGAAATTAGTACTTTTTATCCAGCAAAGATGCATTCGGCCCAAATCAAAATCATGATCAAAAGTGACTGTGAGTGGAATAAATTAAATTTTTTAAATATATCAAAATAGAAAAGCATTATTGTAAATTGTAATATTTCACACTTCTGCTGTTTTTACTGTATTTTTTATTAAATAAATGTAGCCATAAAATATTTTTTTACCCAAACTTTTGAATGGTAATGTTACACGTTGTTTTGTTTTCCTTAAGTGTGATAAACAATAATGTATTCTACATGAAGGATGAAGTGACAATGTCATAATTTTGATAAAATTTAATAAGAGAAACTGGAATATGATACATTTGTGTTAAGGATGGTCTGGTAAACATCTGTTTCCTTTGAAATTGAAAATGTTTCAGGTCTCAGGATTAGAGCCTGACCGATATATCGTGTTGCCGATTTTATCGGCCGATATGAGTCTTTCGCATATATATCGGTATCAGCAAATATGCCGCCGATATGCCACCGATATCATGAACATTTTTTAGCAGAACATAAAACGCAGTTAAGATGCCGGTAAATGGTGTAATTACGTAGTTTATCCATTGTTTGCTACTGGCAGTGTTGGGGGTAATATATTACAAGTAACGCGAGTTACGTCGACCTGGATGAAACGCTTTAAAGCTTAGAATACCATTGAAATTTGAACAGCCATATCGCTGTAACGATGCTGCAGATCCGCACCAAATTCGGGGGATTCCTTCAGCTCGAGGAACCCCCTCAAACGCCAAATTGAGTGTACATCTCGAGGCCCCCTTTCGAATGAGACCACCCCCGCGTCAATAGCCCCCGGGGTCCGGAAGTTACAGGCGATTAAATTCGCTGTCTGGCACCGACCGATCTGGCGATCCCGGGGGGCTACCGACACACGGAGTGTGGCGTTCAAGAGGGCTCCTCGAGCTGAAGGGATCGCCCGAATTTGGTGGAGATGCGCTGCCGTGTTCGAGAGATAGTGACACCAGCCAACACTTTCGCTTCAGTAAGGAGGTCTCTTGTTCCAGGCAGCAGCATTAAAGCGTTGTCTTATTCCGACCGTAAGTGCCCTGCTAAGTGGACTTCACATGATATTGCGCCATGATTCCAGTTCCGAGGGAATGTACACGTTACATTCAAAGGGCATTAAAGTGCGCGAGATGTGAATTTAAATTGTATTTATTTGCAGTCAAACTTCACACTTCTCTAGTAAGTTTCGTCTGTGTGTGAAGACAGTAGCGCAGATCCCGTGAATTAATGTTCCGAAGTGAAATTAACTTCAACGGAATAAAGTTGAATGGAATTGAATTGAAATAAAGTTGAATAAACTTCAACTTTACTGTTCAGTGCACTGATGTCAGACTCATTTTGGACAATGAAGTTTGTTAAATGCCCTGCCTCCATTGCATATCTTTGTCACGTCATTATAAGTGTTTGATCACCACATTTGAGTGATCATTGCAAAAAATGTGTTTTTGTATATATATTCTGTTTATGTGTATATACTGTATTCTATATATAGTACCAGTCAAAAGTTTGAACACACGCATGGGAGAGTGTCCCAAATTTTGACTGGTACTGTACTATAATATACACAAAGAATATCGACCGATATATAGTTATCAGCCTTTTTTTTTTCTCCCTAAAATCGGTATCGGTATCGGCCCCCAAAAAACCCATATCGGTCGGGCTCAACTCAGGATGTGCCATGTCTCAAGAATGAATGGTCTTTAATTGTCAGTTTGCCACATTTGATTTGAAACTGTCAGTGGGAAAATCCTTATGGGGGTTTAGATCAACTTTGGTTCTTTTCAGCTTTTTTGACACCAGCATGTGAATGGATTGTGTCTCACAGGTATGAAGGCAGGAGATGTGGGATTGGCTTTGTCTTATGCAGTCACCCTAATGGGAATGTTCCAGTGGGGCGTTAGACAGAGTGCCGAGGTGGAGAACCTGGTAAGAACCTAATATATGAATTTCCACCGCATTTCCACTACTCTGGGGTCTGTAAAATATATTTATGTTTTTGACAGAAGTCTCTTTGGCTCATCAAGGCTGCATTTATTTCATAAAAACATACAGTAAAATTGTGAAATATCATTACAATTTAAAATAAACGTTTTCTGTTTTTAATATATTTTAAATAGAAATATATTCCCGTGATGCAAAGCTGAATTTTCAGAGTCACATGATCCTTCATAAATCATTCTAATATGCTTATTTGATCCTCAAGAAACATTTCTATTTATTATCGGTGTTGAAATCATTTATGCTGCTTAATACTACTTTTGTGAGAAAATATTTATTTGGGATAAAAATAGCAGTGTAAAAGTCTTTACTTTACACTTTGTATCAATTTACCGCATCCGTTCTAAAAACATCTTACTGACCCAAATCTTATGAATGGTAGTGTACCTCTTCCTCAGCTTGGTTTTTAGAGATTTGTTCAAAACAAAACAACATTTAGCATAATAAATGTCCTCTCTGTGTGAAAGCTGTTACAAAAAGCAGCATAATTATTGTAAGAAACTCTTGAGATATGGACCTGACATGCACAAATATATGTTTGTTTTATTTAGTACTGAAAATACTCTGCTTATTGAGAGTATTGGATTGTTTGCTTAACAACATGCTAATCAATTAGAAGCGCTGTTTCTGTGATGTGTGATGTTCTGTGAGTTGCTGCCTATATAGAGCGTTTCAGCTCTGACAGTTCCTTGCAGTGTGATGCACACGTTTTTTGATGCACACGTCTGCCTGAGCTAAATTGATTCATATTTTAAATCTACCTGACAAGGTAACAAACTGAGTTGCTTTCTGAATAACGTGTCCATCTAGATGACGTCAGTGGAGAGAGTTGTCGAATACACAGAGCTGGAAAGCGAAGCACCTTGGGAAACCCAGAAACGCCCCTCTCCCGACTGGCCCAATCGGGGCCTGATAACCTTCGACAGGGTCAACTTCTCCTACAGCTCTGATGGACCCGTCATCCTCAAGAACATCTCGGCCATGTTCAGACCCAGAGAGAAGGTGAGTCCAGCGCCACAGCTCCAGAACCTCATGTCAGAGTCTGTCAGGAAGAGTGCACTGATGTTTTCTGCTCTGCATTGATCAGGTTGGGATCGTTGGACGGACCGGTGCAGGGAAAAGCTCCCTGATTTCAGCGCTGTTTCGTCTGACGGAGCCGGAGGGTAAAATCTTAGTGGACGGCGTGTTGACCTCTGAGATCGGCCTGCACGACCTCCGCCAGAAGATGTCGATCATCCCGCAGGATCCCGTGCTGTTCACAGGAACCATGAGGAAGAACCTGGACCCCTTCAGCCAGCACTCAGACCATGACTTATGGAACTCTCTGAAAGAGGTGAACACACACTGTGTAATAGAGGCCTGCAGGGATGATGTATTATTGTAGGCCAAAACTACATTTTATACAGGTTACACTCCTGATCATCTCAGAGGGGTCAGTTGGTTTTTACATGTGCTTCAAACATCCACTTGTGAATGGATTTCTTATTAATGAAATGCTAAAAACGTCCAATTTAAGTAAATAATTTTAAAATGCACACTATAAAAAATAAAACACTTGCTATAAATATAAAATATTTGATTTGATTACTTGCTTTCACATGATGATTAACTGACAACAGAGAACCATGACGTGAATGTGCTTTTAAGTTAAAACATTAAAATCTTAGGGTAAATGTTTTCAAGTAAATATTTTAGCTCCAAAGTTTTCGGCAAACAAAAAACTGGGAAACACTTATGTACATCGTCTTTCTACATGTTTTAAAGCATAAAAAATATGTGCACTGTGTTGCTCATGTAATTTGCTTCTCCACATTTCAATCTCATCACAAATGTTAGATTTGTGTAGTCTGATCAATAATATTTATTTAACACTATCCGCATGTGATGAACCATATAGATCTTGGTTAAACATTTTCTGATGTGAACTTTTCCCCAGTAGACTTACGTGATGATTATAGATGTAATGCATTATTAAGCGATCTCAAAGTCCAGCTCTTGGAGTGAATCTGAGCTTTGTTTGCTCAAAGGTCCAGCTGAAGGCTGCTGTGGAGGAGTTGCCTGCTAAACTGGAGACCGAACTGGCTGAGTCTGGATCAAACTTCAGTGTGGGTCAACGGCAGCTCGTCTGTCTAGCTCGGGCCATTCTGAGGAAGAACCGGATTCTTATCATTGATGAGGCCACCGCAAACGTGGACCCTCGGTGAGTCTTTTACCTGGCTCTGAGATTGTTTATACAAATGAATATAGCCACTCTTAAGAGATATGACAGAGCTGTTTACGTTCTACAGGACAGACGAGCTGATCCAGAAAACCATCCGAGCCAAGTTTAAGGAGTGCACCGTCCTCACCATCGCACACAGACTCAACACCATCATAGACAGCGACCGCATCCTGGTGAGTGCAGAGATGCAGCGCTCTTTATCATAATGCATTCATTTTGACCTGAAAGAGATCGAGAGAGCAACCAATCTTCAAAATGAGCCAACACACATAATTCAATTTTTTTTTAAAAAGGTATCTTTCAGGTCAATTTTAACCCAAGCATCAAATCAGGCTTTCAGGCTCAAAAATAGCTTTGTAAAATATATTTAGCCTCTTTCCCATACTGATTTTTTTGAATAAACATGAATTTTCACACCTATTCACCTATCATACACACTTCTTTTGTCATCTGAAATTGAAAGTTTATTCAAGTAAAATGATTATTTTTGAATTCTGGCGTAATGTTGATTTTTTTATTATTTTATTATTTTATTTATTTTAGCAGTCATGAGTTATAAGATTAAAGGAATAATACTGGTAATTGAGAGATTATAGGTTTTTAGAAATTTCAAATAATATTTTCAAATAACATTTCTCTTGAATTAAGAAAAATATTTTTCTCGCATCAGTTATTTTTTTGTAATTCATGTCAAATTAAAATGTTCAGTTTTTAAATGAAAAATTTAAGTGGTAAATAACATGGTTATGAGAAGTTATCAGATCAGATACAATATGGTTTTAATTGAAAAATATTAAGTTATGAAATCACATGCGGATTTTGAATGCATTGTGAGGGTTAAAGGAATTAGGGCTGTCAAAATGGCTGAAAAACTACATTTGGATTTTGTACTTAAATATTATCAAAATTCGAATTTAAAATGCATAATTTCAGCTTGGGTGAAGAAAAGGTTTTGGCTTCTCTTCTGAGGCCACAAGAGGGTGCATCGAGCAAAATATTACTAATGCACCTTTATTCAAAGCTATTCAAAGATAACATGACTATCTGAGAAAAAAGTGCATAATGTTTAAAATAATGTTTATACACCAATTATAATTAATTAAGTTGCTTAAACAACTATAAACAAAACAGCATCATGTATGTATGCATAGTGTAATACAAAGGGCGGAAAGCCAATCACACAGAGTACATTTTTCATTTAAATACATGAGATGCAGTGGGATGGGGAAAAAGCCCGCCATAAAGTCTCGATATATGTTTTTTTTTGCATTAATTTTACATGGCTTTCTAAACATGCGGCTCTCTTGTGCGAGATGCGAGTGCAACGGTAATAGATGTCTGTCTAGAAAACGTGCGAAATATGTGTTCTGTGTGAACGGCTTGGTTTCAGTTTTGCTCATTGTTAGCCATGGGTGCTTTTAAATACAATGAGAGGTTTTGATTACTGCATAATGATGATATTAAATAGAGGGGATTTTTACTTCCATTCAGCCTGCTGTGTTCCGTCCCCTGTGTTTAGAAAAGCATTGTCAGGGAAGGTTTGGGAACAGAGTGACTCCTTTCATCCATTTCCAGGTCTCATTAAAGGGTCACATACACTACTGGTCAAAAAGTTTGGAATGATTACGATCTTGGAAAGAAATCTCTTATGCTAACCAAGGCTGCATTTATTTGTTAAAAAGACAGTAATTTGATAACAATTTTTTAAAAATAGTTTCCTATTTTATTATATTTTAAAATGTTGTTTTTTTTTTAAATATCTTTTATGGTCATCGAAGCTGCAATTATTTGATCAAAAATACTGTAAAAACACTAATATTCTGAAATATTATTAAAATTTTAAATAACCATTTTCTATTTGAATATATTTTAAAATTTAATTTATTCATGTGATGCAAAGCTGAATTTTCAGCATCATTACTCCAGTCTTCAGTGTCACATGATCCTTCAGAAATCATTCTAATATGCTGATTTGATGATCAAGAAACATTTCTTATTATAGTCCGGTGTTGAAAACAGATGTGGTGCATAATTTTATTGTGGAAACTGTGATGCACTACCATTCAATCAGATAAAAAAAAATTTTTTTTAATTAATACTTTTTATTTTCATTCAATTGATTTAAAAGTGATAAAAAAAAACATTTTGTAATCTTGCAAATATATTTCCAAAGAAATGCTGATGTTTTGAACTGTCTATTAACCAAAGAATCCTGAAAAGATGCATCATAATTTACAGAAAAATATTAAGCAGCAAAAACTGTTAACCATTATTAATAATTGGGCAGCAAATCAGCAGATTAGAATGATTTCTGAAGGATCATGTGACACTGAAGACTGGCGTAATGATGTTGAAAATTCAGCTTTGCATCACAGGAATAAATTACATTTTCAAATATATTTAAATAGAAACCCTTTATTTTAAATTGTAATATTATTTCATAATATTACAGATTTTATTGTATTTTTAATCAAATAAATGCAACCTTAGTGTGAGTATACGAGATTTTTTGTTTTTGTTTTTTTTAGTTAAAAATTTGAATTATTCCAAACTTTTGACCCTTGGTGTACATCACATTAACCATGTTCTCTCTTTCTTTTGTTTGGCAGGCGTACATGAACCGCAGTCCGGTCCACCAGCTCAACGGCTTCGCCACCACAAGAGATGGCAGCTTGGTTATCTTCGAGACTGCTTTATAACAGCCCGTAAAGAGCCTGATGTACACAGTGCACAACTACGCCCAGCATCCTCCTCCTGCGGAGGGCAGCGAGCACGGGCTCCGCCTCCTCGCCCACAACACCGAGCTGAGCCGAGCCAGAGACGTGTGCATGCGCTCACACTGAACGCTCACACCAATGACTCCGAGACTACAGAGCTGCAATCACACCAGAGGACTGCATACACCAGCGTTCTGAATTCTCCAGTATGATAGGCTAGAGAGACTGTACACCACTGTGTGTTATGATTATTGATATGTGCCTTAATGTGTAAGTGTAGTACCAGGACTGCTAGGGGCCAAAGAGATAGCTTGCCTTTGCTCTAATGAAACACTATGCTATGAACTAGACCGGTGCCTTTATGAACCACAATGACTGCTGATTCTGACTGCAACAATAAGGCCTTTAAACACTAAGACAACACTGTACTGAGAGGGCTCTAAAAAGTAGTCAAAAAACAGCACCTATTTTTGTTTGTATTATTATTTGTGATTCTGATACTCCGTCTGCCTTAATCAAAAAACAGAAAACAAATGCTGGATAACAATCATTGCTGTAATGCTGCATTGTTTCTTGGGCAAAGAAATCTTGTGCAATACAAACAATCCTGAACTTTACTTTTGTGTTTAATGTTTAATGCTGTCCCCGATTTGATTTTTATGATTTGTTTTGTGAGTCTGTGAGAATGAAAGGGATGTTGAGTGACTGCACACAGCAACACCGACAGCTTTTCTCTGCTGCTCATTGTCTTGTATTTATTTATTTTTTTTTGTCTTTTTTGTTTCATTTGTGCTTTATGGAGAGGTAAAAGAAGAGAAAGTTGCAGTACCAGCCACAAAAGATTTTTGTGAAATGCAGTTTAGCCCAACAGATTCATTTCAATTAAACAACTGAATTCAGTATTTTTAACTACTTGGTTATTTGTTTGAGAATTAAGTGAAATGTTTGTGTCGTATCCCATCTGGGTTTGTGTTCTGTTTGAATTGACAGCATGGTTTCTGCTGGTTGGAAGAATCAGTGTTTGCTGTTCAAAAGTCAAAAGTACATGTTTGCATTCTTTGCATTTATGTTAAAATGTGTATTTGCAATTGTTCAGTCATGTCAGATTCTTGTATTTGGATTAAACCACTTGGTATCACTCAAAATATCTCTTTTTTTTTGTTTGTTTTGTGCTGTTTTATGCAGAATTTATTTTACAATTAATGAATGAAGGATTTTTTTTATTATTTACTTAAGTTCACTGTAAAAAAAAATCCATCTAAAATAACAGAAAATTATCCAGTAATTTTATGGACATTTCAACTCTAAAATGAAGTGGAAAAATTTAAATTACTGGTAAAACACCTGAAAAAAAAAAAAAAAGTAAAATATATATTTTTTTAAAATACTGAAAGTTTCTTCAAATAATACAGATAATATTTACACATTTTTTACAGTATATAAGCACCTCTCACTTTTTAAGTTCAAATAATTGAAAACTTATTCGAGTTGTTTCGTTTTTTAATTCAAAAATGTGTGCAAAGTAAATCACAAGTAACTTTTTCTACAAGCTGAGGTAAATAATAATGCGTTAAACAATGGTTAAATATCATAATATAATATTTTGTGTATGTTGCATGTAAAAAAAATATTTTTTTAAATCCACAGCTACATAGAAAAACCTTTTTTTCAGAACCACACTGAAAAGAAAAACAATTTTTACTCATAAATTGCTCAATTTTACAATTACAAAGAAACACCAGGTAACATGGAATTAAATGTGACGTTTGACGTTGAAAGACTGAAACATTATTTGTGACCCTGCACACAAAAGCAGTCTTAAGTCGCTGGGGTATATTTGTAGCAATAGCCAAAAATACATTGTATGGGTCAAAATTATTGTTTTTTCTTTATATCCCAAAAATCATTAGGATATTAAGTAAAGATCATGTTCCATGAAGATATTTAGTAAATTTCCTACTGTAAATATATCAAAACTTTTTTGATTAGTAACATGCATTGCTAAGAACATTTGGACAACTTTAAAGGTGATTTTCTCAGTATTTAGATTTGTTTGCACCCTCAGATTCCAGATATTCAAATAGTTGTATCTCTGCCAAATATTGTCATATCATAACAAACCATACATCAATGGAAAGCTTATTTATTCAGCTTTCAGATGTTGTATATTGACACTTAAGATTGGTTTTGTGGTCCAGGGTCACATTTTCATTCAAAAAAAAAAAATGTTTACAGCGCAGGTGACGCACAGTTACAATATCTGCCAGCAAAAATATGAAGCTTGATCTGTGCCGATTTTAAGAAAAATGCTTTTTTAAAGAATTTATAGATCCAGAGTGCTTACTTAATTTTTCCAGCATTTTTTTATTTTTTTTTTTTATAAATCACACTCGATGAACATGTTAATTGACAACCCTAATCATGTCACAGGCCACAGTATGTTAACCTAACCTTCATTTCCATATGGCTTGATTACAACTGGGAAAGCCCCTGTATTCCAATAACTAGGAGAAGAAAAAACATTGTCACTTTACTTCTCTCTCCGTAATGGCTTTAAGATTTGGTGCCGGAGGTGACAGCAGGTATTTGTTTACAGTCTGTCATCCGTGTCCCATGGTGTTTTGAGACTATGTAATGTTAGGGCATAAAGGAATTAACCTGAAGGCAAAATCCTGGATTGACTGAGAACAAGAGGCAATGTGTTAGGCAAGCAGGCATCGAATCACAGCCTCTTGTCCTCAACATTTGTGGCTTTGTCTGTAATCGTAACCATAATCTCTGGAGTGTAAGCGATACTGTAGGCCTTTCTCCTCCTGGATGGACAAACAAAAGTGTGAGATCTTTGCAGTAGATGATCCTATTGTGTTCAGTTCAAAGGTGTGCACAAGAAGGAATGCTTGCCTTTACTTCTTCATTGAAAAAGCACTTTCAATACACTCTGGTAATGCGTAAAAACTGAGAGAAGATATGAAAGGATAGCCAGATCCATTATTATGAGAGATATGTGGTATGCTTCCCTTACAGCGATGATCTCATGGCACACACACACACACACACTCAAGCATGTGAAGTAGGCCAGAGTTACATTCATCTTGTGATTTGGATGCCTGTTCTTGTCATTTGAAGTGGAATTTGCAATATCTTATTAAGATTATTACACGTCTTGACATTATTATGCACAGTGGCACCAAAAATTATTTGCACTCTTAAAAATGTTTGAATGTCATTGCAGTATTTATCAAATAATTAGAACAAGTGCCATTTATTTTAAGGAAAGAAAGCACTGTTAATATTACTATTAACTACACTGTATAAAATTTAACGGTAAAAGACTGTAAAAACGCTACACTAAAAACCTGTTAAATTGTTAATGGTAAATTCCCCTACTAATGGCACCGTGCACCTTCTATGTATGTTATTATTTAAAAGCTGCTTGTGATGGGCTTTGGTTCATCATGTGACTTTCTCATCATCACCTGCATTGGGTGGTTATGAGTGTATTACAAAGGTACAAAACAGATTTCAGTACTTCAATAGGATGGTATATTAACATTATATCAGTTAATGAAATACCGATTACGGTATTTCACTGTAAATTTAAGTTAAACCCGTAAAACCTCAAATGTCGCTACCGTATTTTTTACAGTAAAATTCTGGCCCCCACAGCTGTCGTTTTTTTACCGTAAATTTTATGGAATTTTTTTTTACAGTGTGATACTATTACTGTTAATACAGTTACATGTTAAAAATGTTCAGATAAAGAATTTTCCCAGTTCAAACCAAGTTCTGCTAACAGCATCTGTGATTTTCTGTCGTTTACAAATAGAAATTATTCTCATTCATCAAGTTCGTAGAATTGAATTTGTGCAGTAATGCTAACCCTATGGATGTCCACTTCCACCATAGAATAACAAAGGTAATTGAGACTTTTCATCTCACAAATCTGACTTTTTTCCTCACATTTCTGACTTTTTCTCTCATAATTGTGAGATACATAGTTATAAACGCAAGATAGTGTATATACTTGCAAGGTATATACTTGCAATTGCATGAAAACAGAGAGAGATAAAAAGGTTGCAATTACCTTTTTATATAGTATATATATATATATATATATACAGTATATATACAGTATATATATATATATATATATTTTTTTTATTCTGTGGAAGAAGAAAAAACAATTGCGAGAAATTAAACTGAGAATTCCGACTCAGGTCAGAATTGCAAGATATTACATTTTTTGACATAAATATTATGCACACTGGCACCAAAAAGTATTTGCACAACTAAGCTCTGCTTAAAAATGTTTCAATGTCATTGCATTAGCTATCAAATGATTACAATGAGTACATAGTTATGATGAAAGTTCTGTCATTATGTCGTTCCAAACCTGTATGACTTTCTTCTGAGGAACACAAAAGCTAGTTTGAAGAATGTTTGGGTCTAAACAACATTGGACTCCATTGACTCATTATAAACACATTCAAAATACCGTTTTTGTGTTTCACAGAACAACAACAAAATTTGTTTCTGAAGACAATGCTTGATTTTGGTGTTTGTATTCTAATGTGATGAAATTCAGACAAAAATTGCATTGGAGCAAATCGCTTAAAGGAACAGGGAGAGAAGCATTTGTCATGCTACCCATTCTCTGTTTTATGGCACGGTCTTAATATCAGTTGCAAAGCTGCACAATGTCCTGATGAAGGTGACCGTTCCTTTAGAAAGCAGCTGTTTGCTTGGACCGCTGCGTTCTGCGCTGACAATGTAGACTGATAACTGATTGCACGCTTAAAGAATGTTCCCAGTTCAAAACAAGTTCTACTGACAGCATCTGTGATTTTCTGTTGTTTATGACCTAAAATATAGTTTAGACTCATTCTTCGAGTTCGTAAAATTGCATTTGTGGTATAGTGCCAACCCTATCTATGAAAGTCTATTTCCACCATGGAATAAAAAAAAAAATCTTTCTCACAATTCTAAATTTTTCTCTAGGAC